TAGAGGGCTGCTGAGATGGCCAGATATAAGTACAATATATATAAAATACGCTAAATAAAGATAAAAGTCGTGATGATTCATTGACCTTTCAAAAGGAGAACAGAACTGAGGCCACCAGAGATGGGAAAAGGAGAGGAGGGAGGTTAGCAAGAAATTAGTAAAAGGGCCACAAAAAATGATTACACTGTATAATGTTGAATATACTAATTAACCTGACTTGAGCATCCCGTATTACACACAGGTATTGATATTCACTGCTGCACCCACAGATATGTACAATCATCTGTGTTTCAATAAAAGTATGTATAATATATATATAATATATAATAAAATGAGATCATGCATATGTTGTTTTGTCACCTTTTTTGACTTCACATTGATCGTTTTCCCATGTCATTGCTCTAAAACATGTTTACTAACTGCACAGTATTCCACTTTGTACCATAGCTGTATAATCAATGTAAGTCCCTTGTTGGACATTTCAGTTTTATCTTTTTTTTTTGCTCGTTATAGGTATATTTCTATACATAAACTTTTTGTTGTTTTTTTATTTCTAATGAAAGATTTTATTGAATTGGTTGTATTAAAACAATTTTTTTATTAAAACATGATTGTGCATTTCGGTAGGGTATAGCATTGAATATCAATACTTGTGTACAGTACGTGATGCTCAAATCAGGATAATTAGTATATTCAGCATTATACAATGTAATCATTTTTTGTGGCCCTTTATCAATTTCTCAGTAACCTTCCTCCTCCCCCTTTCCCACTTTTGGTGGCCTCAGTTCTGTTCCCTACCTTTGAAAGTTCAGCAAATTATTGTGATAGTTGCATCTCTGTTTATTCGTTTATTTTTTAGCTCCTACTTAAGAGTGAGGACATGCAATATTTTTGTGTCTGGCCTATTTCACTTAACATAATTTTCTCTAAGTTCACTCATGTTGCTGTGAATGGCAGAATTTAATTCTATTTTTTATGGCAGCGTAGTCCTCCCTTGTGCATATTTTCCTTATTCAGTCATCCGCCGATGGACATGTAGGTTGG